TTTCAAACTTCTTGAATAGCCAGTAGATTTCATGAACGCATCAAATCTCTGGTTCCACTGCCTTGGTGATTGCCTTAAACCATACAGTGACTTTCTAAGTAGACAAACCTTCTCAGGTGCCTTCTTATCCACGTATCCTTCAGGCTGACTCATGTATATCTCCTCGTCTAAGCTTCCGTGCAAGAAAGCCGTCTTGACATCCATTTGCTCCAATTCTAGATTGAAATGAGCAACAGCAGATAACATTAGACGTATGGTAACATGTTTAACAACTGGTGAGAAAATTTCTTGAAAATCAATGTCTTCCCTTTGAGAGTAACCCTTTGCAACAAGTCTTGACTTGTGTCTTGGTCTCTCAACTCCTGGAATTCCGATTTTCCTTTTGAATACCCACTTACAGCCTATCACTCTCTTCTTTGCTGGTCTATCAACCAGATCCCAAGTATGATTCTTCTTTAGTGATATCATCTCCTCATCAGTTGATTCTCTCCATAGTTCTCTTTCTGAACCAGCCATAGCTTCACTGTAACTTTGCGGCTCAAGAACTCCACCATCTTCTGTCAGATTAGACGCAAAACCAAGTTCTCCTAACTCATCATATCTCTTAGGAGGTCTAGTTACTCTTCTTTCTCTATCTCGTGCTAATTGATAATCAGCAAGACTTGGTGGCATATAATCTTCCTCTGAATCTGTTTCTGACTCAGAGCCTTGTTCCTGATTAGGAAACCCTCCTTCTTGAGTGATATCCTCACTCCTTGCAGCTCCACCTTGATCAGCATTTCCATTTCCTGTTATCACAGTAGGAACGTCAATCACTGTAGTTTCAGGTTCTGGTGCTGATCGGTTCTCAACTGAGTTTTCTTCAGTGAAGCTCTTGTACATAACCTCCTCATTGAACACTACGTCTTTGCTGATTACAACCTTTCTGTCATCAATGAGCCATACTCTGTAACCTTTTACACCAGTTGGATATCCAAGAAACACTCATTTCTTGGCCCTAGGATTAAGCTTACCCTGACTTGTATGCACGTATGCTACGCATCCAAAACTTTTAAGGCCACTCAGATCAAGTAACACTCCTGTCCATGCTTGCTCTGGAATCTCAAAGTTAATAGCTGATGTCGGGGTTCTGTTGATAACATATATCGCAGTCGAAGCTGCCTCTGCCCAAAATTTCTTCTCAAGACCAGACTCACTGAGCATGCTTCTAACCTTTTCCATTATTGTTCTGTTCATGCGTTCTGCAATCCCATTTTGTTGTGGAGTGTAGGCACATGTCCTATGTCTCACAACTCCTGCTTGTTTGCAAAAACCATCAAACTCTTGGTTGCAGAACTCAAGACCATTGTCAGTCCTCAACTTCTTTACCTTTCTACTTGACTGATTCTCCACCATTGTTTTCCATTCAACAAAAGTTCTGAAAGCCTCATCCTTTGTCTTCAGGAAATATATCCAGACTTTTCTGGTGAAGTCATCAATAAATGTCATGAAGTATTGACAATTTCCTATGGAGTTTGGTACTGAAGGTGCTCCCCAAAGATCCGAATGTATATATTCAAGCTTCTCCTTTGTGACATGTTGAGCAGTAGCGAAGCTAACTTTATGAGCTTTCCCATACACACAATCTTCACAGAACTCGAACCCCTTTAACTTATCAGCTTGCAGACATCCCTTCTTGATCAGCAAATCAGTGTTCTTTTTACTCATGTGACACAGTCGACTATGCCACACCTTTGACTCATTTTGTGAACTGATTACTGCATTAACACTTCCTGCAACCACTTTTCCTTGCAGGATGTATAGAGTTCCAACCTTCTTACCCTTTAGCAGTGTCATGCAGCCTTTAACTACTTTCAGAGAACCACTCTTCGACTGAAACCAGCAACCTTGATCTTCCAATGTTCCCATTGAGATCAAGTTTCTTGACATGCTTGGAACATATCTGACGTTTGAAATCAGAACCGTTGAGAGATCCTCATTCTGAATCCTTATACTTCCTATACCTTTGATCTCAGAATAAGTTTGATTTGCCATCTTCACTCTTCCCGTCTTTGAGTCGTCAAACTCGACAAACCAATCTCTCCTTGGAGTCATATGAAATGAGCACCCTGTGTCCATGATCCATTCATCTTCTTGTTCGTTGCTTACTGAATTTGATTCTTCCTCAACGTTCATACCAGCAGCATCGATGATTTGTTCCATAACATTTGATGTTTCTCCCTTCTCTGAACCGTTAGACTTCTTGTTTCTCTCCTTCCAAACAAAACACTGCTTCTTGTAATGACCTTCTTTACCACAGATCCAACAGACTTTTTTCTCCCTTGACTGTGACCTGTTCTGACTTTTCCCTCTGTCTGAGCTTTTGCCTCTTTTGTCTGACCTGCCTCTTTCTTGAACATATAACGCTTCTGAGTTATTCTTGCTTAGTTTACCACTCGCCCCAAGTTCAAGACTTTTAGACCTTATAGCTCCGGTAATCTCATCCAAAGTTAACGTTGTCTTTCCATACTTTAGAGTTTCCTTAAGCTGATCAAACTGTTTCGGCAGAGACATTAGCAAGACGATGGCTTGGTCTTCCTCTGGAACTGTAACCTTAACATTCTCCAGATCAGAAATCAGCTTGGAAAAATCGTTCACATTTTCCTCCATAGTCATGCTTTCAGACATCTTATACCCGTATAATCTCTGCTTGAGATATATCCTGTTAGGTAGAGATTTAGCCATGAACACCTTATCTAGCATCTCGAGCATACCTGCTGCAGTAGGTTCCTTTATGACCTTCCTGAGAACGTGGTCTCCCAGACTTAGTATGATCGTAGACCTAGCTTTTCCCCTCTTTTCCTTGAGAGTTTTCGCCTTGAGAGTCTTCTCTTCAGATTTGTCGGAAGCTTCAGTAGCCGACGTTGCTTCTTTCTCAGCTGTAGAGTCTTCAACATCAACGACCTCTTTATCTTCCAATCCTTCCAACAAACCCAGTAGCTCCATATGAGCCAGCAACTTTTCTTTCCAGAGAACATAATCTCCATCACCATCGAACTTCTCCACCTCATGACGCCTCGAGGTCATTTCTTGCATACAGGGCAAGACTTTACAACAAAGCTTCAAACTTTACAAAGTTTCAATATTTCCTAGATTCCAGCAAGCCAAACTTGGCTCTGATACCAATTGTTGAGAAAAGATAGAAACTTTATGTTGTTTAGTGTTCGATGTACTCTAGATTTCACTCACCTCTCTAGTTTGTTCACTCGTGTGTTTTACGTTAAGCAAGTAAAGAAAAGACACATACAAATTTAACCAGTTCACGCCTCAGAATAAGGTCGCTACGTCTGGTCCGAGGTTTACTCGGAAATCCACTAGAAAGCTTGGTTACACTTAACCCTTGAGACAGAACAAAACCCAACAACAGTGGCTGTTCACTTTAGTTCTCTCCTACTCTCTTAACCCTAATACCTCAGAGAATGTTGACTTATATAGAGCAGTACCAGCGGTGATACGCTCCACCTTCTCTCCTCTGTTTTTACTCTGAATTCGTACGGAGGAAGAAGACAAAAGCCAACTCTTGGAGACCAAGGTTAATTACTCCTTTACCCTTTCATACCGTTGATAATGCACGTGAGCTCCTTGTGCTTTCTTTCTTCACAACGAACATCTAAGACCTTCTACTTTGGTTATAGTCTTCTTGACACTTAGGAAATATCTCAACACTTGCCTTACAAGTTAAGTTAGGTCACGATGGTAACTCGTGGAGCAAGTCTGTATGGACATAACCAGATTGGCTTCTCTTGATGAACTCTACTTGGATCATGAACTAATTCCTTTCCTTTGATTATTCTCTTCTTAATTTCAACATCAGAATGATGACGAGATCTTTTCGTGTTTTGTTTCCGTTTAGCAGATTTATTATTTTCCGTCGTGAATTGAAACTTCTGATGTGTTAGGATTTGTGTCCATAGTCAACCATTCGCCGTTCTTCATCTCAATTTCGTTGGCTTTTGATCGAAAGTCACTTTCATGGTGTCAACTGAAAGCTTCTTTACTGATAAAGTTTAGCCATGGTTGGTGTTAAGGTAAAGCTTCTCGAGGAAAGAAGGGGAAGTTCAATGGATTTCTCAAGTCCCTTTGAAGAATGTTTAGTAGAAGTCGAAGTTTGATAACACTCCAACAAAGAACCAAACTTTATATTGACTTAAGCTTCCTCTGTTTTAATTTGTGGGGAATCATTTTTTTTTATCAATCGGCCCTGGTTTGAGCGAAAGGTTCTTTCATCCGTGAGTACAAGATTCAGGTGAATAGAGATGTTGCAGCAGTTTCGGTAAAGAACTTATGCTGATGGCTTCTCCTCACCGGTGGTGGAATCAAAGGCGGAAAAACCAATAAAAATTATAAATTATAATACATAAAAAATAAATTAAGAAAATTATAAAAAAATAAATTGTCAAAATTTCAAAATTATAAATTATAAATTTCGATTTAATTTTGTTCTATAAAATATAGAAAAATAAAAATACTATAAATTTCAAATATATGGTTATTGCCAATGATGAGATATATAACTCATATAAAAAATATTGGTAACAGATATTGGAAACCATTGGTATTTATGATTTTATTTAAAATTTTAGTTATTGTATAATTGATGATATGTCATAAATTATCACCTTCTTCGTGAGGTTGTTCATTTTCAATATAGATGTCATATCTGAAATTTAAATTTTGATATTTTAAAGAAATTTAAAATTTATAAAAAAATGAAGAATATTAAAAAATAAAATATTTTTAACTTCTAAAACCTTTATATAATTTTTCTAATTTTTAGTATTTTAAAAAGAGAAAAAAAAAGACACGTTAAAGAGAGATAACCCCGAGGCCCAGGAACCAACCCCTGAAAGGCCCATATACAACTATTGAGCTTATTATCACTTTTTCTTCCTTTATCATCTGATAAAAGCTTTGATTGAGATAATATTTGTTCACGAGCTTTGTTTTTTGGATCAACTAAAATGGCGTTTACGACCACCAACATCTGCTCCCTACGCTCTTCAGTTCCCCTAAACCCTAGATTCCGTCCCTTCCACCATCCTCGTAATTCCCCTTTCCGTGTCTCCTTCAATCTCTCCCCCAAAAACCCTAAAACCATCGTCTTCGCAACCGCCGCCGCCTCCTCCACATCTCCGCCAACACTCTCCGCCAAGCCCTCTTCTCAGTTTCCCTTCTCCGACTCAACCAAATCAATCACGACCCTCGCGATTCTTGCCGGAATCGTAACCAAATCCCTTATCCAGAAACTCTCCACCGCCGTCGTAACCCTATCCCCACAGATTCAAGCTTCCCTCCGAGTCTCAGGTCCTTTGTTCTTCGCGGCGATTCGTGACCGTCCCGCTGGTTATCTCAACACTCCGTTGACAGTCGTCGCCGCTGGTCTGTCCAAGTGGCTTGATATCTACAGTGGTGTGCTGATGGTTAGAGTCTTGCTCAGTTGGTTCCCCAACATTCCTTGGGATCGTCAGCCTCTCTCTGCCATCAGAGACCTTTGTGATCCTTATCTCAACCTCTTCAGGAACATTATCCCTCCCGTCTTTGATACGCTTGACGTCAGCCCTTTGCTTGCTTTTGCTGTCTTGGGAACTTTGGGTTCCATTCTCAACAATAGCAGATGATTCTTCAACTTATTAATTACTACTCTGCTTTCAATGTTTATGGATCTTTGGTGTTTTATATATTGTCTTTTAGTTAATGCATTTGGAGTTATAAGCTAATGTATTGGACTCATATGTTTCAGTATCAAAATATATCTTATGTTCTGTCAGTGAATGAATCAGTTTGGTGTCAATGTGAAAGCTTCGAAATTGTTGTTTGTTATTAGTACTATGCAGTGACAGAAGTATTTGTGAATTGGAGCTTGCTTGTGCTGAGAATTTTATCAATATACGAAAGCTTTGGTAAGAGATGATGATCATGTGAACTGAATCCTACTGGTTCATTCATTTGGTTGAGGCTAGTTGTGAATCTCGGTTTCGACATGAAATCAATGTTTACACTTTGAGACTGGGATTAATCCAGATGTCATAGAATACAAAGTAAGCTTTTTTTTTCTCTTGAATTTGTAATGTGTTTCACTGTAAAACACCAAGGCATGTATATTGGTAATGTTGCAGTTTGTTTCACTGGCTAGGAAAGAAAATTACTTGTGTTTTTAGAACCCATTTGGTTTAGCAGCATCTAAATGACCTTAGCGTCCAAAACATCTAAGCTCGTTAGTGAAATTTTTGGCTTTACTTAATCCTTATGGAATATATCTTGTGCAATTTCCTCTTAGTGTTCTACCAGTTAGTCTCACTCCTTATCTTGTAATCTATTCCAGCTTGTTAGTGGTAGACTAGAAGTAAACAAGCTGTTCTGTGGTTCATGCATCGCTCTTAAATGTGTGACTAATGACTGTTATATTTTTGTTAAACTTACATACAAAATAAAAAAACTTAAGTCTTAGAGCAGAGGCTTTTGTTATACTTAGGCCTGTTCAATCTGGTGTTCGCTCCGGTTTCGGTTCGGTTTTTTTCGGTTTTCGGTTATTCGGTTTATAAAAATTAGCTACCATATTTAATTTGGTTTGGTTCGGTATTTCTACTACCGGTTTTCGGTTTATTCGGTTTTATACCAAATAACATTATTATTTGATTTGGTTTCATATTATATGAATTTTAAAAAAAACATATTATCAAACTATCATTTATTAAAATAATCCTAGGTGTTTATAAATATAAAAATGTGAAATTAACAACAAACAAAACGATCAACGATTCAGTTTTGTATAGTTTTTCTTATTTTCTCTTTGTTCTTTCAAATAAATTACATGGTACAATCTAATTTCACAATTTCTTACAACATGTAAAATCAAATCAAATTTAGATAATAGTTGAAGAAAATAAAATAAAATTATTAAGATATATCTTCACAAGGTATAAAAAAATAAAAATAAAAAGACTATTCTAAGTAAATAAATGGTTATATAATGTATATATTTATATATTTTTTCTTTGATCGGTTTTGTTCGGTTTATTCGGTTTAATCGGTTATAAACCTAACCATATCCAAATCCTACGGTTTTTATAAAATCATATCCATTCGGTTTATATGGTATATACCAAATCTAAACCATATTATCTATTTCGGTTCGGTTCGGTTCGGTACGGTTCGGTATCACCATATTGAACAGCGCTAGTTATACTTGCATCATGTAATGTAGCATATTTACACTATCTATCCAAATCTACTGTTAACCGCCCAAAAGCCTTCTGTGCATAAAAAGTGAGGAATTCCATCTTAGTGTTAAACAAAAATTATTTTGCGGTGAAAATCTCCAAGGATGGTTTCATGCTTACTGGTCTATGGCTGCTGATATTACTCATGATTTTTGTGTAGAGCCAATGCTTTGTAGTTTTACTGTTTTAGTACAGATGTAATGTTTCTGATTTGAAACCCATTGACCCAGGAGGCAAGACATAACCACCTAATGGTCATCACGACCACTAAGCAAGCTGATGGGATCGCTTAGCTGCTTCTAAGGAACTGGGTCACTAAGAGACCTGTACAGCGATATCATCCGAGTAATTTCTTCTACGCTGATAAGTAGTGGCTATAGAGCTCTGCATCAATACTTTTCACCGAATAAAACATAAATTATTCAAACTAAACATAGTTGTAGGCAATACCTAAACATTAGAGAATCGATACCCGATGCAAATGCCACGACGTACGTGAAATGTCACAACTAGGAGAATCGAACTAAGCGTTTGAGTGGTTTGGGTGTGGACAACCTAAACCACGCTTTACGTTTCCATTCAACAAAATCTGAATGTGAATCTGAAAATATTAAAATCTTGATAAAATTATACAATTTCGTTGTACTCATTATTACTCTCTTTTGTACGTTAATACTATATTTTGAAAAATCACAAAGAACTTAAATATGCTTGATATCGATTAAACATTTTTTCTTTATTCATTGGAGCAGGTCCATAGTTGAATTGTGACATATGATATCTGAAAACATTGTTTCATGATGAATTATATAGAACCCAAAATTCTTGCTTATTTGGATAACCCGAATCAACGATATAATACTTTTTCATTGGAGGCAAAATAAATTTAGGGTTATTTTCTTGTGACATTGTGAAAAAAGATGTATCATGACAAGATTCTTTTGCTCCAATCCATATATATGGGAAAAACATATTGGAATCACAGATTGCCATGATATTCAGCGATGCATTATCATGTCGAGTCCAATACATTCCTTGTAATTCTGGTTTTACTTTTATGCAAACATGAGCCATATCCATAGCTCCAACGAATTCAGTAAATGGATAATATAATTTTGGATGTAGTTGAAGTCTTTTAGAAATTTGGTATAGTTCTTGTCGTGTTAGAGTTCTGATATACTTGCATGCATGCATGTAATTCCCTCGTTTTAAGAACTTCCTTAATTTTCTCTTCGCAGACTCTTGATTTTGTCCAAAACATCTCTCTAAATTTCATTGTGCCCGCATAGCCGCAAATAATATAGGCATACTTTCCTCAATGATTACATTTAAAGTTGGTTATAGACTATAATTCGTTCATAGCATGTTACGTAATGTTCAAAAACTTAGAAATGGCATTCGTAGGAGTTGAAGACAAGCACTATCAATATTTTCCCACCCTAACTATTCGTCTGTCTGAGCAGGTGCTCTATTAAAATATCTATCATAATAACTCAAAGTAGGTTGAATTATTAACTCCTTAAATTGTTCATTTCTAAATTCCACAACTCGTTCTCTCTTTGTAAATAAGTTTAGGAAAAAAAGTTATCTTTCTTTTCTTGAGAAAGTGATTACACCAAAGAAAACAAAAAAAGAATAGGTGATTCAATAGGTTTGATAACTGAAAAAGATGGGTGTGTGAATTACAATTTTTTTCCTTTTTATATAGTCCAGATTTTTTTTCTTCTTTTTTTGAAGATAATATTTTTTCTAAAGAAAATAGACAAACTATTCCTTTCAGCTTCAAGCGCGGTTCGAGAGAGAGAGAGTGCACATTCTGGACGCGCTGACAAACTCATATGCATTATTATCTAATTTTTTGTTAATTAAAGTTAAAAAAAAATAAATAGAGAAGTTAACTTACATGTACTGTGAGTGGTGACATATTTAGGACCCGTCCTTTTTTTTTTGAACAACAAAATGTTTTATAGAGAAACTGGCCTCAGGCCCAAGTAGTAACAACATGGAAGAGGCATGCCTTAGATAGGTTATCCGCAGGCCCATTCTCTTCTCTAGGAACAAAGGAAATACAACAAAATTCAAAGGATGCAGAGAGGAATTTGATGTCCGATAAAACTCCATAGAGATTCATCGGCTTTGAAACCGAATTTATCGCCTTGACAAGCGATAGAGAATCTGATCGTAACCAGATTTTAGTGATACCGATGTGCTTAGCGTGGGAGAGAGCTTCCCTAACAGCTAAACTTTCAGCCATGAGAACAGATGAAACGCGGTTCTGGAATTTGCATCCATCCGCGATCAATCGAGAGGAGGAAGAGTCGAAGATCCAAGCAAGACCCGCCTCAAGGGATTCCTTTTTCCAAGCTGCGTCGGTGTTGCATAAAACAGTATCTATCGGAATAGAATCAGGTCTTCCTGGGATCTGAGTTTTCTTCGATCCTTTCTCCACGGGATCCTGTGATTGAGTCCATTCTCGAGCACTCAACAGCGCTTTGGATGCAGTATCTTGAGGCGATGCTGGGCGTGTTTCAAACATGAGTTGGTTCCTGGTAGTCCAAATGTTCCACACAACCCATGAGAAGATGTCCCCCGGTATACCACACAGCGGGAGGACCCTCCACGAGGTCGTAGCCTCCACTGCCGAAGAGAAAGAGGTGAAAGAATCTGGATCGAAAGTAGCAGCAAGAGGTATCAGATTCCACACCTGTTTTGCGAAGGGGCAGTGTAGGAGGAGATATTCTGTTGTTTCTGTCAGACCCCAGTGGGCACAAAGAGTGTTCTGCAGCATTCCTCTCTTTTGGAGGTTCTCTCCTGTTGGTATGGCTCCATTTATTGCTTTCCACACAAAGAGCTGAATCTTGGGTAAGGTGGACACCGACCACACTGACTTATACCAATTAATGTCGTGGGTGTTGCTAGATCCCTGCTCTCGCTCCAAGTCAGCAATCGCTGATGCATATCCAGATTTTGTCGAATAGATGCCAGACTTCGCTGGATACCAAATGTAAGAATCTCTTGCCCCTGTTAGACTTGGTTTTAATTCAAGGATTGCTTCCACAAAGTCTGGTAACGTTTGTTTGATTAAGTGTGTGTTCCATTTGCAGGATCCTCTGTTTATGAAGTCTGAGACAAAGAGGTCACAATCACCTTCCTTAAGGGGGCCATAAGGAGTGACTCGGGAAGTAGTGGAGATCCATGAATCCGACCAGACCCTTGTCTCCGTTCCATCTCCTATTTCCCTTCCAAGATGTGAGATAAGTAGGTCTCTACCAGCTAAAATACTAGTCCAGCCGTGAGACGATCCTTTTGAAAGTTGCACATTGAGAAGCGAGGCTTTATGGCAGTATTTACCAAGGAGGACACGCGCTAGAAGACAGTTGGGGTTGGTGAGCATGCGCCATGGGAGTTTCGCCAGCAAGGCCTTATTGAAAGTTTGGATATCTTTAAACCCAAGACCTCCCATTCCTTTAGGCATTGTGAGTTTGTCCCATGAGAGCCAACACATCTTTTTCTTTCCTGTATTTGAATCCCACCAGAAACGCGTAAAGGCTGATTGGATCATTTGACAAATACTAATAGGAAGTAGGAAGCACGTCATCGCATAGGATGGGATCGCA